TATGCCATGAAAGGGAAGATGTATGCGCTAAAATTATGCCAACATTTTTCACCGTGTGACCCTCTCAGTACGATTCAGGTGATGCGAGATTGGGTGGCTGCGACGCAACAAAGGAATGCTACTAGCTTTTGCTGACTTTGTCGCAGTTTTCAGTCGAACTGCAAGATTGGTACAGCTCCCCTTTACTAAGAAAAGGGGTGGGGGTGGGGTAACAAAACAAAAAACACCTTATCTATATACACTGAGAATAAGATTTTTTTTCCCATGGTCTGTACAATTGGGCCTATACATTATTTACGGTGCAGTCTCGTACAAAAAATATATATTCACTCAGCTGGCAAAACGGATCTCCATCACTTGCCTCTTCAAAAGCAGTAACTTCAATACTGAAGTTAAAGCATGGTTTAGTTACATCATCCTGTTCTGTGCACTGTCTTTCAAATTAAAGTTCACATTTTCACAGTAAACAAGTGGAGATGGACAAAGAGGGGGGGGAAAAAAAAAGAAAAAAAATTCCAGCACAGTGTTTATTTTCTTATGGCCGGAACTCTAATTCATCTACACTTATGACCTTGGCTGGCATAGAGGGGAGTGGCTGCTCTAGTACATCTGATCCAAACCACTTGGCGAGGCCTAGAGGGGGGCTGCCGCCGTGTCGCTGGGAACCATTCGTCCGGTGGGGGCCTTGGCTCTGTGACTGAGTGCCAGGGACACTGGGATGTACTGCAAGACAAGACAAAAGTATTCAATCGACAAGTCTTCAAACAAGATAATTAAATACACCACATTTTAATAACATTTGTGAGAATAATTCTGCCATAGCCACATAGTCCCACTGAATTTGAATATTTGAAATTTTCCTCCACTCACTTGGTCGTTGCTGTTGTTGAAGTTGCTGTTGCATTGCTGCTAACTGCATTTGAGTACTGGCTCTGGGAGGTAGAAGTGGATGCCCAGTTGCACTTAGTGGGTACAGTGGTTGTCCAAGCAGGGCAGGAGGCAAGCCTTGAAGTTGTGCAAGGTCATGTGGTGGAAACATACCTTGAGAGTACAATTAAAGATCAGAAACAATTAGGTTTAATGTTCAGTTAGTTACAAAAAGACTAATACAGTTTTTAGTGTTTTTATAAAGCAAAAGGATTTGAGAGAAAAAAAAAAGCCAGCAACCTGCTTGCACAAGAGCAGGTCCTAACTGCTGGGGCTGGATACCCTGTGCCAGCATACGTTGCACCACAGGGTGGAGCTGGGGAGGAGGGCGCACCATAGGTACGTGGGATAGCAGCGGTACTGGGTAGACAGGACGAGGGAAAGATGAGGATGGTCCTGGAGGTACCATGGCGGGTGGATGGTGTCCAGTAGAGCCAGGCCTGAGGCGCTCTTGTTCTTTGCTAGACAACGTCTGTGAGCTGGTCTTTACTCCCCCTGACTGAGCTACATTACCATCCACTGCTTCCAGGTATAGATTTGGGGAGCTGCTGCCTGTAATCATACAACCGAGATCTCAGTGTTACAGGGTATGTGTTCACTCACAGGTATGAAATTGAAAGTTAAATATCAAACTAGTTGTGGGTACCGTATTTTTCGGACCATAAGGCGCACCGGATTATAAGGCACACTAAGCAAAACAAAACAGTCAGATAAGTCAAATTTTACTCAACTCATTCTTCTTGCTTCCTCCACTTCCGTACCATTGATTCATTAATATTAAATTCTCTCGCAGCTGCTCCATTCCCATGTTGTTGCAGTATATTAATGACTAACCTCATAATGTGGATGGATTATCTCAGTTGTTCTCCTGACAGAAATTTACAGCATCCTGCCATGCAATTGCATTTGTCCCCAACCATCAGGAACCCTCATGTTAACTTTTATTGAGTGGAAAAAAGTTAGCATTCATCCTCCACCTTCACTGTGCTTATGTTATTGCTAACATAGCTATGTCGCTAGCGATCACGTAGCACATCATATACCAGCTAGCCCAACTTCAGTAACCCTACAAACATTACTGCTGTTTAGTTTTCCGTCTTCCCTCAGTCAGAACATGGTATATCACATTTAGGTGGAAACTAACGAGCTAACTTCTAACTCTATTAAATTTAATAAAAATTTTGTTTTCATGGATGCCTGGATGTTAAACTTAATTGTTACACCTGGTGAAGCAGCAACACTGATCATTTTATAAAAAGGTGAAAGAACAGTTTTTAACTCTCAGTGATGCCGCAGTGTTTTGGACCTAAAGAGGACTGAGTTTTGGGCCCAGATTACTCCGTGAGGCTCCTGACTATGGTAGCTGTAATGCTCTGACAATCCATCAAGCGGTGCGGTTTCGTAGCTTACCAAAGTTGTACTAAAACATTTGACAGATTTTTGTGCGCGCATACCACATAAAATTGGTTCGAGGCAAGTCAGCACAACCAGCATTCATGCATAAGGTGCACTGGATTATATGTCGATTTTTGAGAAAATTGAAGGATTAAGTGCGCCTTCTAGTCCGGAAAATACGGTAAATTAATACTGCACCATCGTGAGAATGTGCTGCCGAGTCGTCCTTGGTCTCTGAGCGATTTGAAGGTTCATCTTTGCTCTTCTCTTTTGTTGCATACATTTTGCGGATCACAGATGTGGGTGTAAATGAAGGGGACAACTGACATACGCAGGGGAGGAAGAAAAGAAAGAAGTTAATACTAGCAATAACAACAGGTGCATGAATTAGAAATAAGTCAAAACAACTTTAAAAACAACACTGGGAAGAAAAAAAAGTTTGCAGAGTTACGTTTATGCTTACCATACTGGTGACAGTATTTCCTGGAGAGTTTCTTCCAGCAGGCTGAGAGCCTGGTCCAGGGGAACGATTAAGACGCTGCGGTCTGGACAAAAAAACCCAAAAAAACCAAACACTCAGCCATACAAATTCTAACCAACATTATTTTTCATCCTTGGACGCATACATTATACTGGCTTAATATGTGGCAATATATTCTTCAGCTTTGTTTATAAAGAAAGTATTTGTTTTGTAAAAAGCAGTCAATAGGACTTCAATAAGACATTAAAGTGCATGTCACTCAATTTGCTAAAATTAAATAGTTATGATATCAGTCAAAGTCTCTATACTAGGTGATATTTAAACACGATTAAAGCAAAAACAAACCTATTTCGGAAAGACTTGTCTTGTGGTTGTTTGTAGCCAGATTGGAATTGGTGGTGGGCATGGAGAGCAAGATCCTGCTGGAATGCCAGTGCTTCCAAGTCTGCTTGGTTAATAGGAATAGAGAGCGCCCTCATCTGGAAAGACAAGGTAGACCCAACCCAACTCATCAAAAGTCAAAGTTTTAGCTCAAAGGCCTATAAATGTAATTTTTACTCCATGCTACTACTATCAATATGACTGTTACAAGCAACATGTATCACAACATATACATTATAATACTTAAATATTCTTTTAGTGAACTCCTGTTTAACTATTTACATATGAACCAAACAAACCGCATGAAATCTCATCTCAGTAACCTGTTGCTGTGCAGCAGATCCAGGACTGATTGACCTGTGTATATCAGCAAACTGTTCTGGTAGCATGGGCTGAGGACCAACAGGAAATCCTTGAGGTAGGAGAGGATGAAGAACTGTTTATTGACCAATTTAAGGGCTAATCCAATTTAAAGAACTGCATGCCATCATTCTTCCTAGTTCCATGGCACTCCTCAGTAAGCTTACCTGCAGGAGGTTGCAACCGACTATTGAAGTATTCAGGTGAGGGTGCCCTCTGTGGAAAGAGAGGGAGTGAAGGGCCCTTGTGTAGTAGGCCACGTAGAGGTGCAGAAGTTACTGGGGCCTCGGCGCTGCTCAGCAGATTGCCAAACTGCGTTGGGGAGCCACTACGAACTCCCAAGAGCTCCTTTAGAGAGAAAACATTTTCCAATAATTTCTCATTTACTTTATCATTTTGTAGATTTATTGTGAATAGTCAACAGCTAGCCCTGACTGATTGTAGGAACACTTCATTATCCTCAGGACAGCAACCATACCCACCTGGAATATATTTTTTTGTGGCTGTGCAGGTACTTGGGCATCAGGCAGTGTCACTACAGCTTGATCTGCAGTTTGCTGCTTTGTACAGGAGGGAGGAAAATTGGGGTAAATCAAAGTAGAACAAAGTAATTAGTCTGCTACTCTACATTCTGAACTGCAAACAAATTGGCCTTAGTCAAGTCACCGCCAGGGAGGCAGAAGTCAACTGAACGAGATAGACGTGTGCATGCAATTCCACGTCAAAGCGTCCATTCTGCAAGTGAGTAACCCTGTTAGATTCATGTTCCGTTATATTATTCTGACAATTCTTTTGCCCAATTCAAGAAGCTAGTACTTTTGGTTTTTTCACTGACTTGCACAAAGGACAGTTTACAAGATGACACTGCACTGCAAAAAAAAAGGTATACAAACTACAACCTCAACAGTTAAGCAAATTTATGCCCATCATTTTCTATCCTAATTTTAAAAAAATAAAAACAAAATTAAGGGGGGGGGGTCTTAAGCTTGCAGGATGCATTGAACAGGGCCCGAGTTCACCTGTTTTACTGCAACATGCACAACGCTCCGAGTTGACACATCAAGTGTCGACTTGGAGCAAAGAAAATTATAAATATGTAGAAATACTTACAGTGTTTGTGTTGGTTTTGGGGTGAGGTGGCAGAGTTCCACTTGCCTTCATGCTGCTGACCAGTTTATTAAAGGCTGACATGTCTGTGTCACGTGAGCGCGGACGGGCACTCAACCCGCCAGTTAAAGCCTCTTCTAAATGTTCAGCCATGAAGGGCGTTCCATTTCCTCTCTCGGCAGGTGGCACCTTTCGCCTCTGTGGTTCCGAGTCTAGCCTCATTCCCTTCATTTCTCCCTCCACCTCCTCCAATGAGAGTACAACTCCAGAATGAGCTGTGAACAGATTATACAACAAAATTCAACCTTCATGTATCAGAGCTCAGTGTTAAAAAGCAAATTACCATTTCATTGAATGGATTTATTAAATTATAAATTATGTTAAATTAAACTCCACAGTATGCTGCAACAGCTTTCAGTGTGTTACTGCAGACAGAGGTGCAGCTGAATGTTAAAATTTAAAAGCCTGAAATTCAGCTTCTCTCTACATATACCCATTTTTGAAAAACATAATAGCTAACTGCTGAAATCTCCCGAGTTCATCTAGCTATTGTCAAGGATCATCGACGTGTGCACCATGGCATTCAGCACTTGTTTGTTTTTGGCATTCTTGTGCCATACCTACTCAAAGACAAACGCATGAGCCTGCTGAACTGTGACTCTGTCACTCCATGAATAGAAAGAAAAAAAAAAAAAAAGTTGGTAATAGGATGTGTGTGGTTAGGAACAGAAAAGGTAGACTTTTAATCCACATGACACTGAGTAGAGCTCAGCTGTGGAAATGGTTTAGTAAACAGACACTCACTGCTGTCCCGAAGCCGAGCCTTATTGGCAGAGAGCGTAGAAAGCAGAGGTTTCAGGTCTACTTTGGCCTTATGCAGCAGCTCCAGGATGTCCACCTTCTCCTTGCATTCAGAAGACTGAATAGGTGCAAAATATGAGGCATTGCCTCGGCTGGGGGACGTGCAACGTGGCTCGAGCCCTTCAGAGAATCAGAAGGGGAATAAGATTTAGGATATTTAACAGCAATCCAGATCATTTCGGGAGCGTAATCTTTGTTTGTACTCAAATAGCATCACATATGATGCAATAGCAGCAGGTCAGGATTTTGATAATATATCCCAAAAGTGTTGTACAAATGTCAAGGGTACATTTCTAAGATTTCTTTAAATCGTGCAAGCTATCCTGATGATTAAATAACTGCTTGAGGCAGACAATAGAGCCTCAAAATGATATTTCAAGGAAATCTTTCATATCTGATACTGGGAGAAGAATACTCAATGTTTAATCAATGCCTCCAGCTTGCAGACAGCAGCATTTATTAGTACAAACAAAATGAAGGGCAATTTCTATCCTATCCAAGTGCTATCGTAGGTCCTTCAATTTGACAGACTGTGCAATATGCACAAGAATAAACACATGCTTTAAAAACAAAAAAACAACATTTTATCATTCCTGCTGCACTTTGAATTATAAAAACTGGTGTCTTTTAGTTTTATACAATACCATTTGTGCATACAAATTACTCATAGTTATTCAACTTCTACTTTTATCTTTTGTTATTATTCATTTTTCTTTTTAATAATTTTCTAATATAAACAATTCAGCTTTTCTTTCGCTTTTGTGCTACTGTAACTAGTCAATTTCCCCAGTTTAGGATTAATAAGAGTAGATATATCTAGTGACAAAGCAAAATATACAAAAGACACAGCATAAGTGAAATGTAAGCACAAAAGCAGCTTAGGTCATGTTTTTTTCCTAGAAATTTTAATCATGACTTAACATTAACTGAACAGCCTTCTAGCGCTACAGGAATCTGTAAATAGTATCACACAAAATTGATTTATTTATTTTTTTTTAAACCCAGGTTGTTGTAACATCGGTAATAAGTTTTTAAATCAGCTGCTTTAAGCTCAGCTTTTTCCATCACGTAGCCACATTAGTAGTTTCCAACCACCGTTCGTGCTTCCTGTCATACAGAGACATACAGAGTGCAACTAGTGAACGCTCCAGCGAGTCATTTGTTTAACACAAGGGTTTCACATCCCCACCTGTTAGCACCTTCTCCTTGCATACCTTCATGCCCTTGTTTTACTGTGTTAACGTCAGATATCATGTAAAGACTTGTCTTATCACAGAGGTGACAAGCGTGTGCCCTACAACTGCTTTTACAGAAAATAGATTTGACTCAGTGGTCAAGAAATCAAATCACTTACCAGCAAGTTTCTCCAGCTCTTCATGAGGAGTTGACCTCAAGCTGCTGGACCGGCTGCATGGACTCTGGTTACTAGAGAACCACTGGCTGAAGCGGCTAGCTGACACAGGGCCCTCTCCCAAAACATCCTCTATCATCTGTAAGACAGAAATAGGGGCCTGTGAGACAGACTAGGATACAAAAATCTGCATATTGAAGGGTGCAAGAACAAATGTGCCACTTACGTTTGTAGCGCTTTCCATCGATTTAGCACTAAAAAGGTGCTAGAAGTCTGAGGGCAGTGTCACTGAATGCACTGCTTTTTGACCTTGTTCTCATTTACCAGCAAGTATTGAATCTAAAAATGCTAAAAGTAGTTTGCAGTTGGGCTTTTCTAGTTCAAACTAGAAACTGCATCCAAGCTACAATGATGGGCATAAATTTGGATTGTTGATGCCTTTTAAACATCTCATTAACCCCATGCAAAAGCCCAGAGAACAGAACATTGATAGTGCACCATTCAGTGACATGACTCACCAACTAAAGACCAAATTCAGTGAGGTCAAGCTAGTGCAGCAGAGGTAATCTTGCACTGATACAAAGTATCAATACTTAGTTTTATATGACTAAATGCACAATTTGTGAAATTCAGATTTATTCTTTTTTTTTAAAAAAAAGCCACAAATATCAGACTTGTAAGAGTCTTAATTGTATCATTTGTTTTTAAGTTGACAGTTATGTCTGGTTCAGGGGTGAGCAAACATGAAAACCTCTACTGTTAAGCTTATCTGGAAAAATTAAAATCACACTGATATTTTAGAAGTTACTAATGACACCCCATCTGTGAGCTTCACACCACTAAGCAAAACAAAACCATAGTGCACCCCAGTACTTACAGAGGCCAGTCCTGGCATGGTCTTCTCTAGATTGAAGAATTCATTGAAGTCGAAGTCACCAGCTGAAGGCTCTGGAAGAACATCAGTGTGGGGAACTTCCTGATCAGCTGTCGGCTGCAAACCCACATCTTGATCCTCGGGCTGTCCGCCATTACATTCCACTACTGCATACAAGATGTGTGACAATAAAATTAAATACAAGTCACAATTTTAACATGAAAAGTCTTACTGAACTGACTTTCCAAATACTACTAGAAATGCAATAGTCCCTAAAAATGTTGGCAGTATTTCTAACAATGTCTTGACATGCCTTCTTTCAAAGATTCTGTCCGCTTCCTTGAACGCTTAGATTTGCGTTTATCATCTTCCAGGATTTTGTCATCAAATCCAATAAGCTCAATTGTCTCCGACTGGCTGGTGGGACCCCCCGAGAACCACTCTGGCTCCTCTTCTGCATACGAGTCATTCCTCCTCCTTTCGCTAAACACACGCTTGTCACCAAAATCTCTCTGCAAATGATTACACGGGACAAACAATATCAATTTAGAAATATAGGATGGGACAATTAAAGAGTAACTGCACAGAAACACTTTTATAAATTTAGTTTAAGTCTTAAGAGAATTGTGTTTTTAGACAGTTTAAAAAAAAAAAAAACTAAAAAATGTATCATAAAATAAAGTTCCAAAAAATTTAAGTGCATTCAATATCACATTAGAACTAAATGCAAGGTCATTTGCATCGACTGAAAGCAACAAACACCAACCCTAAATCTTTTATCCTTCAAGTCTCTCTCGCGCTCCTTTTCCTTCTCTGCACGAGCTTCTCTCTCAAAGGCACGGGCAGCAATTATCCGTCCACTGCCAATTCTGCGTGACCCTCCCATACGTAGAGTATCATTTTCTTTGTTTTCCAAGGGGCTGATTGGGCGACGGATATGAGGGGCAGCATTACCCTGACATCCACCTCCGAAGCTACGTCGCTGTGGGCTCAGTACTACATCCAGGTCATCTTCCTTTAACCGCTCACGGGGATCTAAAAAACAGATGGGGAGGAGGGGAAAAAAAAAAAAGTTTTATGGAGTACATAGACTACATGAACAATTCCACTGCAGCAGTTTAGAAATCTTGTGCAAGGCTGGAACTTAAAATCCTAAACATTCATTGATCAGAGCACAGTTAAGTTTCTAGACAACATTGTTATTACAAAACGCAAAGATGAAAGGATAACCATCTACCATCAGTAATAGAGATCGAAAATGTGACGTCATTTCGGGAGTAAACTCGCAAAGGATTGTAGGTACAAGTGGCAATTGGTACTAGCGTGCACGGGCTATTACAAGACAGCAGTCACAAAGAGATAAACAGAGACACAAAGAATGGCAAGAAGCTGTTGTATTATTTACTGCCATAGCCGGTCGCATGATAGCCACGGGAAGCAGACAGGTAAAGAGATCGTTTTTTTAATCAGATTCCTTCGTGGAAGAAAAATTGTTCAAGTCATGTTTCCGATTGGGTTAACCTGGGTTATAAAGAGTTTAAAGCCGTTACCACAGCGAGATTTGATCGGTTGAGAGAGAGAGGGAGCGACATCAAAACAGCCACAAAAAGTCCCGCATATATGTGCCCAAGTGTTGTATTGAAGCAATCAAGTGATGAATAACTGTTTTCCAGTATGTTGTTTTACAATGGGTTTTTTTTGCCGTGTTGATTTGTTTTTCACCGAAGCAGCTAATAAAGTACAATGGAATACAATTTTGCCTCTTTCTTGTAAGATTCTATAATAAAATGAAACAATACTACCAGTTATAAATAAAGACAATAAATTGAATTAATTATGAAACACTTATTTTATTTCTATTGGATCTGAAAATGTTGTGTTGGCCTGTAAACGAGATGCAGAAAAGTTTTTAATGACAGCTGTAAAATGAAATAGTCCAAATCAGAAAATAGATACACCAAAGTAAACTGGACCTGGGCTTGTTGCAGGAATCTGAAGTTACAAAACACTGCGTGAGTGTATGCACTCACACTTAAGACATAATTATAAATATCTGCGTGATGAAAGTTGGGCAGCATGCTAACGTTTTTAGTCCACTCTGTATGCTCGTATGGTCTCTTTTTTGCCTTTTCGTCAAGTCTGTCTTTGTACAAACCTGCCTTGTTCTGCTTCGTTTTGTACATAACTAGGGATTAAAACCACAGAATTAATGATTACTGGAAATGCTAGCGCTTGATGCAGTGTTTTGATTTTGCTGCCACTCGTACCTACAACGCAATGCGCGATAGTCACATGGTCTGTCGATCTCCATTTACCTGGGATTCTTCGTTTTAATGGAACTCTGTCATCCATGTAGTCCTTCTTAAAACCTTCCACAGGTGAGCTTCGCTCTGAAGTGGGATATAATGAGGCGTGCCATTTCTCAGGGTCCCAGACACCATCACTATTTAAAAAAAAAAAACCAAAAAGAAAGAAATAGCCAGAGATAAGACTTAAGTCCATACTTTAAGTCAAATTTCAAATGAAGACAGACAACTACAGCCTCACCTGGGATCCTGTTTAGGAAAAAATAAAGAGCAACAATGAAAAATAGGCATGGGCAAAACTACAATACACAGGTGAGGCCATCCATTTCAACCTTTATGCTGTGAGCACAGAATACAACCCAAAAAGAGGGTGCAAGAAAATCAGATCTTCAAAATAATAAACCAATTGATACTGTTGCACTAGCAGTGTTTAACTCTGATGACAGACTACTATAAACAATTTTTCCAACAGTTGAGACAAATCAAATTTAATCTGAAGTCATTCATGAACTCTCCCATAAAGACATTACACTTAATGACGAGTTCTGACACCTCAGTATCCACCAATAAAGATGTGATTAGATGACAACTAAAACTGAAGGGTAGCTGCCTAGGCAGAGACCACCCTCACACCTCACCACACTAGCGGATGCAAACATAAGCAGATCTAAAAAAATAATGACCAACTGCTCAGTTCGGAAAAGATATTTGAGGGCAACTCCTAGTAGGCTTTGAAGGGGTAAAGAGGTCTCTTTTTTTAATGATTAAAAATAAAACCCCAAAAAACAGCTTGACCCACCCTTTAATGAGCCCACTTCTCATATAGCTATAGCCACTGTTCCTGGCTCTAACAGCTATGGGACAAAGATACAAGTCTTCTAGCGCAAGCGTTTGTTTAGCTTCTCAAGCAGACATCTGAACAAATCTTTGACTGTTGTTTAAGAATTACCCCAAGGAATTTAAATGAGCTCCGAGCAAGAGACAAGCTGAAAGTACATGTGACTTCCAAAAAGCAGGAGCAAGTCTTCTTGACAGTTAAACCATGTCAATGATTATTACAAACGTTATGCAAATTTTAGTTTCAAGGCCGTGAACATACTTGTGTAGAAACTCCTCTGCTTAACCTCGTTTAATCAAAGTAACTTTTGATCACATACACTTCAGTTCCAGCAAAACATACATTTGAAGAACTGTTGATCTGTGCCAAAAATCTGTATTTCACAGCACAGAGTAATACTAGTACTTTTCCTTACTAGAATTAACCCATGCTTTCTCATTTGAGAAGCATAATCTCCTCTCCAGTATTACCCAGTGTGACTTTTACAAATTCATACCTGTCATATTTTTCAGAGAGACATTCAGGCCTTTCATTGGAGATTGGCAGCTCTTTGATTTCCAAAAGCTCCTCCTGCAAATAAATTGATAGTCTAGTTTAATTCACAGCAACATCTAAACTTGATAAACAATGACACAGCTGGCATTTTGTCACCTTAGTGTATCTGTAAGGAGCTGTGGCTGCCGGCTTAGGCTGGTCGACAGCAGCTTCACCATTCTTAGGCTCTACACAGGCATCTTTCTCCATGATGGATTTCAGTCAGAGCAGACAGTGTCTCAGCCACCAATGACTCTACACCTGTGGATGACAAGTTAACATTTACAAGTCAATTATACTCGACTACGGCCACTAAATACAGTCTTAAAGGCCAATTACTTCAAATGAAAGGACGCATGTTCCGAAGATTTTAAAAAATCAAACAAAAAACACACGGCTTCCTTCTGTTGCTGCAAAATATATCAGATGTATTGCCATCTTAAACTAGGCAGCACGAGAAAACAAAATTATAGAAAAGTTGCCGTGAAGAAAAACTCTCATGGAACTTACCTGTACCGGGCAGTTAAAGAACAACCCTAGAGTCTCAGGTTGTTGCTGGCTAATTAGCAATTTAATTGACAGCAGCTGAGAACTGACATGTCATTATATTACAAAGCATTTACGTTAATTTACTAATTGGCTATCGCATTTGAGTTGTAAACGAAGCCGTTTTGCAATGAAAGGATTCAGCGAGTTAAATACATGTAAACATTTTAATACAAAACATTCCGCATCTTTTCAGCTTTAGGAAATAAACGCTACTAGTTAGCCAAGAGATTGATACAGGGTTAGCCAAACGATGGTAGCGTCCCACACAGTTAACCATAAGGCGAATTCATGGCACAAAAGTTGTGTAGACAACCGACTTGCAAGTCAAATTTTGGCAAAAGACGGACTTACTCAGTTTGAATGCTGTAGGGAATGCCGGTCGCTAACGGCCGAGCTGATCACGTTAGTTAGCTGGCTAGCCTAGCCTAGCACTTTGAGCTAGCTAACTAGCTGGGGGACTGGGGATAAATGCCCACCCAGCGAGCACCAAATCGTGAGCCGGTAGAGTTGTCGCTGTGATTTCAGGGAGCACACACTATAGAGGGGTAACCTAACACAATAAGACTGGTCCAAAACAACAAATTAAATCACACGGAACCGGTGAAATCTCAAATAATAGTCTTCTCTTTCTCTGTTTTCTAAGTCGTAGCAGAAATTTTCCTCTGATCACCGCTTTAAGAAGGTCCTGGCAAAGATTACGCCGTGACCAACGCGCCTTTGTAAAAATTAAAATGGGCAGGTGTGCGTTGGCGATACTTATTTTAAAATCTAAATCAATATATGAAAATTAATTTCCCAATATATTGGTTCATACGTATGTATATAAAATATTGAAAATGTAAATTGCTTTGTAGTGATTTTTATACTACGGTAAAAGGCACTTGACAGGCATTATTAGAGACGGCCATATTTTGTCTCAGGATTCGCTCGATTTGTGATTCTCCACCGCCGGTCTCCTGGTGGTCCGTATGAAAATAAAGACCCCGTCCTCGCGGGCAGTCCACGACTGACATTTCGTGTCATCGTCGTTAAACTGAGGGGACCTTAAGTACGTTCTTCCAGTGTGAAGTAAACATTTCAGAATTTAAACTGTTGTAGAGGGAGGTGTATGAAAAACACCACCCCATATTGAGAAGTTTATTAAGCAGACCTTGACTCTTACAACTACCACAACCAGTTTAGTGTGGAGCGGCAGCGGAGGTTGTTGCTGTTGACAACTGTGTATCGAAGACACCAAGTGGTCACGTGATAAGGAAAAACAAACGCGCGGCACTTTGTGAAGAGTTTTAACGTGAGGATAAATGAAGGTAATTTTGTCATGTAAGCTACGACAGCCTTCAAAGTGTAAAATGAGGATGCTTGTATATGAGAAGTGATGCGATTCGGTGCTCTGTATAATAGCCGCTTGAAAAATGCAAAGTAGCGGCGGAAACTCGGATCCAGTAAGACCCCGTTTAAACTATGTCAGATCTCGTGGTGAAGCAAAACAAGTGCGCAAAGTTCACATCAGAAAGGTCGCTTACAGAGTTGGATACAGCTGGAACAAAGGTGGAAGACTCAAGGAACTGAGAATAAGGTGCTGAGACTATTCCTTGACCCATTGTTATCATGTTACTGTCTTCCTGAAAATTAAGTCTCCATTCTTTTAACTTCTGCAGGCACCTTGCAAGAAAGTTTCTGAAGATATGGATACAGAACACCTTTGGCCGAGTTCTTCCTCATGAAGCAAAGTGACGTGTTTCATTTATTTTGGAAATTGAAAGCATTTTCAAGTTTACCATCTGGTTGCCCTCGTTTTCCTACCTGCTCACTAATTCCAATGTTTTCCAGGTTGCATTATAACAGAGTGGTACTGAGAAGAACCTTTGAAGGATGGAGAGATGAGTGGTGGTCATCCAGGAGGGAGTGGAGTCTGAACATGCGAGCAGACTGTCACTACAGGTCATTACAGTACATTATAGGACATTATGAAGGACTTTTATAGTTGAATAACCAAAGTCTGTTCATGTATTCATGCTGCTTTTATTTCAGGTATTACCTGTGCAACTGGACTCTCCACAGCTGGCGAATGTTTGTGTGTTTGCAGAGAGAAAAGAAGATGCAACAGCAAAAGGCTCAGTCATTTGGTGTGACTTTTACCATTCAAGCGTAATGTTGGTTTGGGGAATTTTTTTTTTGTCAGATTTCATAATTCACTGACGTGTCATCACCCACTTTGTTTCTATCATCAGCTGACAAGCAGCGGATGCGTCTGGTGTTGGACAGATGGGAGGTTTTCACAGAGATGAGAAGACTGAAGAGCAGAATGCTGGAATCAGCTCTTGAGCAGTACAGGCTCTCAGCTATGCAGTAAGATTTTTGTGTTATCAAATGAAAACTTCTAGCATTATGATTTTTACCATAATATTGGTTTTACCTTTGTTTTTGTTTTGCAGCTCAGTGTGGAGCTTGTGGCAAACTAGATTACAGCACCGTCGAGACCTTCACATTTTGGAGGATCAAGCACAGAAACAGAGGGCGCTAACCTTAAAGACAAGGGTAAGGGCATGATCGAACACCTCTGTGAATCACATGTTAATATTATTATCGATAGTAATAATAAAAATAACAATATCTTTTTTTCAATACTCCACCTTTCAAAACAAAGTGACAAACTACAAAATGTTTAAGAAGAATTAAAAGTGAAACAACATAAATTGTAGGAACACTGACAGTAGAAGAAGTTCAAAGGCAGTAGATAAAGACAAATCTTATCTTTATAAAGATAAAGACAATTAAAATTATAAACATGTAAAAAACAATTATGAAAAATTTAAATAAATAAAAAATTATCACCAAGAAAAAATGATGAAGGACAACATTCACTTCAAAGCAGAGGCACAGTAAAAACTTGCTCATCAAAGTATGTCTTTAAGAGAGATTTATGGTGATGATAGATGATAGTAAGCTCGGCAGTCTGATCTACTCAGTTAGGCTGTTCCAATCTGTCAAACTAATTAGATAAAGATGACCTAAGGAAATACAAAAAATAATAACAATAATATATTGATAATTTCATCTGTTATTATTGAATTTTAAATTAACTGTGATTAATCACATTCTTTAGAAAGCTGAGTTCAATTTTAATAGCCACACCTAGGGCTGATTCAAGCCAGACCTGTTGAATCAAGAAATAATGGAAATGGAACCTGTCAGACGAAGTCAAGTAGATTCACGTCATACCGCCATCTCTCTTTGGAAGGTTTGAGTCCCGTTACATCTGGCATAAAACTCACACAGTATTTCATAAAAGAAACATTACACCAGCAGTCAAACATGGTGGTGACTCTGTGATGGACCATGAATTCTGCTCTCTACCAGAAAATCCTGAATGAGAATGTCCAGCCATCAGTTCGTGCTCTGAAATTCAGACGCACTTGGGCTATGCAGCAGAACAATGATCCAATCACACCAGTGCGACTGAATTAAAATAATTCTGCAAAGAAGAGTTGGCCAAGATTCCTCTACAGGGATGTGAAAGACTCATTATAAGTTATTGCAAACACCTGATTTTAGTTCTCGTTGTCAGGGGTGGCACAAACAGTCATTAGGTTTAGGGGGCAATTGCTTTATCGCACAGGGCCTTGTAGGTTTGGATTATTTTTATCCTTGATAAATGAAATCATTACTTAAAACTGCATTTCATATGAACCTCAGTTATTTTTATCTAATATTAACATTTGATCTGAAACATTTAAGTGAGATAAATGTGCAAAAATAAATCAGGAATGGGAAAATAGCTCAGTTATACTATAATCCTGTGAAAACTAACTCTTACTGAGTCTAAGTCCTAAGCAGCATAAAATACGACTGAATTGAAATGCTTATCTAAGCTGAGGTGGTTGTCAACTTACATTATGCCCATGGACGACATGCTCCCAGGGTAAAATGTATAAAGAAAACCAAAGAGTAGTGAACCTTGAGGTACATTACTCCTGTGTGTTCTCTCTGGTGATGAGTCACCTGATATATTTTGTATTGAAGGCTTGGCTTCAGTGGAAAGAGATGCACACGGCTGCTTCTTGCCAGAAAGAGAAAGAATCCAGAGCTGCGTTTCATTTTATCTCCAGATTGAAAAGAAGAGCTTTGCATCAGTGGATAAGATATGTGTCGTATCGCCACACCAAGAAAGAAACACAAGGTCATTATAAAATACCCACGCAGCTTTCTTGAAGCATCATTATTTTGCTATCTCTTAACACATTTTTATTTGTTTGTTTCGCCTTCAGCTTTGGCTCAGCGTGCCTGCTCTCGCCTCCTGGTGAGGAAGTGTTGGAGTAAATGGAGAAATGCTCTCGATCGCAAACACAGTGAAGAGACCCGTTTGCAAGCAGCAGCCAGTTTGGCCACGCAGAGCATCCAGTGCAGAGCACTGGTGCGTTGGAGAGCTTGTATCCTGATCCACCTGTAGAATGGATAAAACTTGGATAAACTAGTTTTTCTACCTGCTACTAAATCAGTTTTAAGTTATTAGCACTGTTGTTTGATTCTTGAGCTCTTCAGTAGATGTGGCATTGTGCAGAGAAGAGACTGAAAGAAAGAATGCAGCAAATCAACACTACCAACATCATTTAATGGTAATAAATAAATAAAATAAAGGACCCACACATAAGCAAAGATCAGCACGATCAATTCATGTATTCATCTCAGCGCATTCTCATTGCAGCGTGCTGGATTGCGAGGGTTGTCTCTTAATGTCGTGTTGAACAAAACATATCGACTGAACAACCGTATGGCTATCCAACATTGTCAGCAAACGGTAACTGATCTTCACGCTGCAGATAGTCAGCATTACTCTCATTGAAGGTTTCAAAGCATCTGAAATGCTTTCTTTTCTTTCTTTCTTTTTTTTTGTAGATGAATCGTAAGTACTGGAAACTATGGCAGGATCGTGTGGAGGAAGCTGAAAACCGGAGTTTTAAACCCCTCATAGAGATGGCCCTGAGTAACTACAGGTGCTCTTACATACATTTCCCAATCCACAGGGCTATATTCACAGTTCTTTGTTGTAATACCCATGCTACAAATGGAATTTGGTTCTCGTTGCAGCACTTCACTGCTTAGAAGACATTTTCACCACTGGAGAGAGAAACTTGCTGAGCAGAGATACATGCAGGTATTTTCAAATACAACTCAAGACAGCAAAGATACAGATGCTTTTACATTACAACACAATCAACTTGTTATGTTTTGGTTTTTTGTTTATTTTTTTTTACAGGAACTGGAGCGTCGTGCAGACATTTGGTTTGTAGACCGTATGCTACCTCAGTGTTTCCAGTCTTGGGTTGAGTTTACCCTCCACAGCAGAATGCTTCAACAGAGAAGACTCAAAGCTCAAGCTTATAATCGGTGAGTCATCACCTTTCTCCTCTTCAGTTATGCAACTCTTCCCATGAAAATAAAATAACAATATACCTTTTTAAATTTGGCTGCTTTCCCCTTTAAGGTTCTTTTTTTTGGCTTCTCTGGGCCACTTTCAGTGTGGATGCTGTTTTTAGACCCTCTATTTTTAGATCACTGGTCCCATTCTGAGTGGTGGGATGCACGCATACAGATTCACCACAGTCTTTAAACAGAAAGCAGACATCATCTTCTGTGCCAAATTGACCCCAATTTTATTGAGGATCATTTTTGCTCATGGGAGCTGGTCTCTGGCTGTAACTCAAGGACA